AGGATAAATGGGTCATGATTCATGAACACGCTATAAAATGTCCTCTGTAATCTGACATATTTGTGAGTAAAACAAGATATTCAATGAGAAAATGTAGGGTTGGACTTATTTCATTGGGAATTTTTGAAAGGTGGGCGGCACATTCCAGAAGTCAGGAGGTCAAAAAGGACGATTGTTTTAGAGGTGATGCAATGCAATAATGATGAATCACATACTGTATAATAAGAGCATGTATTAAAAAGGAGAAAGTATAGGATACATTTTGATCGCTTGTTGACATTGATCTATAGTAGGCTGATTATTTATAGAAGTCAATTAGACAGCGAGGTAAATGTGTGTTGTATGTGCCACTGAAATGTTGCTATTTTATAAAAAGAAGGTCTTGTTTTCAAAGTTTTACCAAATGTGTGAACTTTGACCCGTGTCCTCATATCTTGTATTATATGTCATACTACTGGGGTCTTTCTGTGTTGTTGTCAAATGTCTTTGGTATCTGTGGAAATGCACAGCATAACATTTCTAAGCCGTGTTTTTGTCATTTCTTTTGTTCTTGAGAATCTTATCTTGTATCTTCTTATCTGTTATAAAGGAATGTGTGAGAATATATTTCCTGAAACACAAACTCATCACTTTAGTGCTCTTTAGTGCATCACTACACAGCGCAGCTATAAATAGAAAACTGTAGAAGCTGCAACACTTTTTCATTAAAGACAATGACAACATCTGGCCAACCTCACAGAGATCTGAAATGTGTTCGTCGTATGGTCCAGTTGAAAGTATTTACAGTGTCTGGCTTGTGTTGAGCTATTTCATCTCCAGAAAACAAAGAAGGAATTGCAATTAGCTGCGTTTCCCCTTCAAACAAACTCAAAGCTTTCCTCAGCACGCACTCAAACATTAAACAATGCCAATCATTTTTCTTTGGCCCAGGATGAGGAGGACTGGTTTAAAATAATAATAATAATAAAAAAATAATGAAATGAAATAAAATAAAATAAAAATAATAAATAAATGTCAGATTTCATAATTCAGTGAAAGTAATTTACCAATTAAAATATTTAATGAATATTAATTTATTATATAAATGTTTTTTGCCCCAAATTTTGATTGCTTGTTGACATGATTAAATTAAATTAAATTAAATTAAATTAAATTAAATTAAAGTTTTTAGTGGATGTAATTTATAAATTAAATTAAATTAAATTAACTTAAATGATTTTAGCAAATGGCTGCAATATAACAAAGAGTGAAAAATTTAAGGGGGTCTGAATACTTTCCGTACCCACTGTATATATATATATATATACATACATTCATATTTGTATATTTATTATTATTATTATTACTGGAAATGATTTTTGCAGTGCACATTCACTGGGTGTCTGTGTGAAATCTGAAGCACGGATGAGGCATTGCAGATCTAATATGTAACAATAGTTGCTCATTAACTGTTCGTTTTTTTCTTACTGACATGTTTCGCAACGTCGCTCCTGCGGGGAAATGACACGCAGGTCAGAGCAAGAAAGCAGAGGAGAGGCTGTGGGAACTTCAGCTCGTACACTAACACACACACACACACACACACTAACACGAAGCACCACATTACTGTAAAACATCCCAGATATCAATCCAAAAACAAAGTCAAAGGTAAACAAATGAATAAACAAACATGCAAACGGACAAAAAACACAAACTGATAAAAGTTTTTCTCATGAGGGTGAGGCAACCCTTGCATCGGTCATGCATGAATAAATAAGGCAAACCGAATGCCTCGTGAGGCATGAGGAGAAAGCGTCAGATCCTGGCCTGTGGCTACACGTCTACTGGGATGCTAATATCACTTTTGGTGAAGCGCGGTTGAGCTACTATGACGTCACTGTGTTTATGAGTTCTGAGGAATTGGGAGAGTCTGAGAATTCATGATAAAATGCTTGATAGACACCTGGATTTATCCCAATAGTTTTGTCAACACTCTGCCGTATCACACCTCAGTTGTTTCTTGAGCACAAAGGGATATGGAAGATGAGAGGGCAAGAGATTTCAATTTGTCAATAAACAGCATTCACAATTTTGCTTTCACAATGCATTGTATTTTAAAGTGAAACGTGAGAGAAAAGAGCTTTCTTTGAAAAAAAAAAAAAAAAAGGCAAATGTCATGTAACCTGTTCCTACATCCATAATCCCATTTTATTTATCCTTAAAAAATATAGAATATACTGGGGGGAAAAAGACTGGGTGGTAAAGGTCTAAGAAAATACAATAAAATAAGAAAAGAAAAGAAAAGAAAAGAAAAGAAAAGAAAAGAAAAAAGAAATTAATAAAAGAAAAAAAATATTTTTTTAAATATTTAAATAAATAATCTAAATATTTAAAACCAGAATAACATGCATGGATGAATTGTGCACAATAACAACAGTAATTTGGGTCAATTTAGAATTTATGTTGACATTAAAATGTAAAAAAAAAAAAAATTAATTCTGGTTTTGGAAAATGTACAGAACAGCAAAACTATATTAAAGAGATCATAACTGATTAGTTGTGAACTACTGTTCAAAAGTTTATTTTTTAAAAGAAATCAATACTTTTATTTAGCAAGGATGCACTGACTTGAACAAACGTGACATAAACACATGTATAATAAGATTTCTATTTCTAATAAATGTTGTTCTTTTAACTTCCCATCAATCAAAGAATGTTGGGGGGAAAAAATCCAAGGTTTTCACAAAAATATTAAGTAGCACAACAGTTCTCAACATTGATAATAATAAATGTTGTTCTTTTAACTTCCCATCAATCAAAGAATGTTGGGGGAAAAAATCCAAGGTTTTCACAAAAATATTAAGTAGCACAACAGTTCTCAACATTGATACTAATAAGAAATGTTTCTTGAGCAGGAAATCAGCATCTTAGAATGATTTCTGAAGGATCGTGTGACACTGAAGACTGGAGGAATGATACTGATTATCAGCTTTGCATCACAGAAATTTTTTAAAAAATATATTCAAATAGAAAATATTTATTTTAAATAAAAAAGTCATACTGTTTTTACTGTATTTTCGATCACTTGGTTCACCTTGGTGAACATACGAGATGTCTTTCATAATTTTCAAACAGTGTTTATTTGTTCATGAGATGGTTCTCTTTTTTTTTTACACGTGTGGATGAATCATACCTGCTCTCTTCCTTGTCTTGTCAATGTAATGCAGTTCATTCTCAAGCAGAGGCTGAGGGGGCGTGTCCTAAAGGGAGGGGTGGGCGGATCCGTTCCGGCCTGTGCCATAATCTATTCATGACAGCTCTTGAAGGAGACTGAGACCCAGCTGCTCTAATTTAAAAATAAAGACCCCCACCTTTATCAGCCCCTCCTTCCTCCATCTCTATTTCACAGGAGACCCCCTTTCTTCTCCATCCCCCTCAGTCCTGTCATGTTCTTTTCATTTGGGACTCCTCGAACACGGACTGGGAGATGATTAACCGCTTCACGTTTAGCTTTGAAAAGAGCAGTTTGTCGTTCCAAGAAAGAGCCGTCTCTGACCAGCTGCCATTACAGGCATGAAAAGACTGAGGCTGTTTCTGTGCCCAAAACAATGGAGAACTAGCAGGGGTCCTGTGTTGTGATATTCAGGGTTCTTGCTTATGAATAATATATGCATATTAACAGGACTGTCACAATGGCAACGTGCGTCGAAACGTGTAGCAAATCAACCTCATTAGAATGCAATCAAGTGAAGTAGTGAAAATGCAATAAGGCAGAGACAGCAGGAAAGAAGGTCAGAGAGCGATGCCTAACACGATTCCACTGACATTCTTTGGCATGCTCACGCTCAGATAACGTCTATGCAGGCTCATGGGAAAAAACTGACAGATATCGTGTGTGTGCTGTCTGAGATGTACAAACCTGGACAGGATAGGCATCACTTAATTTTATGTGGAGGATGTACAATCCGTACAATCGATTGTCTTATACTGTGCACTTGGTGTTGATTAAGACAATGAAACATTAAAAATGTATTTTTAAAAACTGTATGACATAGCAATTAAATTAAATGGACTAAGGTTCAGTCGTGTCAATATATTTTAATTTGTTTTGTTATAAATTTATTTATATATGGTAGTTTCGTACATATAAAATATACAATATCACAATTTATTTTAATTTATTTTATTTTTTATTTTATTTTTTATGGAATTGATATCCTTTATTATTTTATTTAACATTTAACTGGTATTATTATATATTTATTTTTATAGTCTTGCACATATAAAATTATAAATTTTACATATAAATTATTATTTATTACTTTTATGATTATTTATAGATTACATTTTTTATAATTAAATCCTGATTATCTTTATTATTTCTTTAATATTTAACTGATTTTATCATATATTTATTACAATATTGTAGTCTTGTACATATGAAATTATTTATTTAATTTAATAATTAATTAATTTAATTAATTTAATAATTTTATATGATTTATTTATTTATATTAATGTATCTAATTTTCTTTTATTTCATTTCATTTTAGAACTGAATCATGATACCCTTTATTTTTATTTAATATTTAACTGATTTTATTATATATTTATTATTATATGGTAGTCTAGTACATATCAATTATTCATTTAACACATAAACACATTGTTATATAATTATTCATTATTATTTTATTTTCATTTTTGTTTTATTTTAAAATTGAATCCAAATACTCTTTCTTATTTCGTTTTTGATTGATTTTATTATATATGCTGTTTATCATTATATAGTACACTTTAACATCTAAAATGTACAATACATTTCATTTTATTATTTCTAAATTTATTCCATGTCATTTTATTTTATAATTGAAATCTAACACCCTTTAATATTCACCTGATTTTAAAAAAGTCCATCATTTGCATGCATAGCCCCGCCCCTTCACGAATATGTAATCCTCGCGAGTGTGGGCCCCGCCCCTCCCCCCGTGAACGCGATGTATAGATGGAGCGCTCTCCTGGCCGCACTCGCAGCTTTTCCTCTCCAGTCCGTGGGCATTGTTGTAAAAACAGAAGGACAATACAAGAATAGAGTGGCGGATAATAGAGCCTCAAAAGGGGCTTCAGGGAATCTGTCCTCTATTGGACCTGAGTGCATGAGGCACTATATGAGAGCCGTGTGTCGGCTGAAGTTTAGTTTCACAGGCAGCGAGCAGACAGACAGAGGAGGCATGACTCTGAGACGGAGTCCAAGTTTTGCGGTGCTGTGCGTTCATGTGCTTTTGCGGTGCCTGTGGATGAGGGTACGTGCGGTTTGGCTTTCACAACTGTTTATACGACGCAATGTGAACATGCATTTGTGGATCGGATGACACTAATTAGGCTACTGAGTCGATCTCATTCGATTCATTTGGATTTTGAGACTTTCTTTTTGCAGTTTCCAAAATTTTTGTAGGCCCTATGCGCTTTTTTTCGTATTCGTCATCCTTTCCTATCAAAATGCTTGCTACGGATGCGAAAACGCAAAAAATCGAATTGTGTGCAAAGACCTTTTTACACTGGAATAGAACTGAAAATGAATAGACTGAGAGATGACAGAGATAGATGTCCCATGTGACAAATACTGTACTCTTAATTTTGCATATTGTGTTGTTGCAGGTTTGTGAGGCATCGGGGCACTTTGAGATGCAGGTTTTGTCCATGCAGAACTTGAACGGGGAGCTGCAGAGCGGCGCGTGCTGTGACGGCGCGCGCGTCGCGGCGGACCGCTCATGTACGGCGGATGAGTGCGATACGTTTTTCCGCGTCTGTTTGAAGGAGTATCAGTCGCGGGTGTCTTCGGGAGGCCCGTGCAGCTACGGAAGCGGATCTACTCCCGTTATCGGTGGGAATACTTTTTCTGTCAAGCCCCTCGACGGCGCGAGCGATAAATCCAGGATCGTGCTGCCCTTCAGTTTCGCCTGGCCGGTGAGTTGAAAAGGCTGTTTTGGTAGCAAAGCCGTTGGGAAATCGTAATATGATTAAACAAGTCTGGGATTACGGGAGACCGGGACAAGTTGTCACGCTCTTTACCACAGTAAATATTATTTGTGAAAGTCAGTTTGTGTATAGACTATTTGTTCAGAAGAGCCACTGTTATTGGCCAAAAAAATGTGACCCCGGACCACAAAACCAGTCATAAGGGTCAATTTTTGTAAATGGAGATTTATAAGATGAATAAATAAACTTTCCATTGATGTGTGGTTAGTTAGGATAGGACAATATTTGGCTGAGACACAACTATTTGAAAATCTGGAATCTGAGGGTGCAAAAAATCAAAATATTGAGAAAATCGCCTTTAAAGTTGTCCAAATGAAGTTCTTAGCAATGCATATTACTAATCAAAAATTAAGTTTTGATATATTTATGGTAGGAAATTTACAAAATATCTTCATGGAACATGATCTTTACTTAATATCCTAATGATTTTTGGCATAAAAGAAAAATCAATAATTTTGACCCAGACAATGTATTGTTGACTATTGCTACAAATATACCCGTACGAATTAAGACTGGTTTTGTGCTCCAGGGTCACAAATGTACATTTTTTGTGACAACATGCCCCAATAGCTGATCATGTGAACCTGTGACAACTTGCCCCGGTGTCACCTACATACCATTTTCCATGATGCTTCCAGTGTCTCATTCTGTTTGTAAACACGCAGTCGACGTTTCTCAGGATTCTGATTTCCAGTTGTTGTTTGTGAACGCCGGTGTTATGCTACCAACACTGTATGTTTAATACTGTAAGGGTAGGTTTAGGATTGGGGTAGGTGTACATGTTAATAAAGCCTCACACCACATTAATATCATGCTGGAAGCAAAATCTGCTGGGTAGCATTTTTCGCTGTCGAATTATGCTACCAACTGTTTTAATGGGAGGTAGCAAAATCTGACAGGGTAGCACAAATCAACAGAACACCGGTTCTGTGCCGTTCATGGCATTGTATGATGACGCTCAGGTTGGACAGGGGTTGTGTTACGCCACCCTAGCCAGCACAGTCCACCAGTATCCTCTCATAAATAGCAGGACAATGTGCTATAAAACACCTGAGTTTATCTCCAGCACCTACTGATGGACATTCAGAGGCTGTTTTACACACAATGGCCACAGGAAACTGCTCTTAGATATCCAGTCAGACCACCATTGATCATTTAAAGGGGGTTATCTCACTATCTCTAAATCTCTTAATGAAACCTATAGTGAGCTGCCTACCTAGGCAGCATTTTTGGGCATCATAGGTGCCCCGCTAGTCCAAAACGTGCATATGATGCTGGAAAATTAATGCTGTCTTGGTTGGTCCACTAGGTTTTGAGACACATCCAATAATGCAACCTTCAAGCATGCATTCAGATGTGAGGGTTTTAAATTACCAGTGCTTATATACAATATTATGACAATATAATGCTGTATGCCAAAATAAAAAATGACAATACAATAGCAAATAATAAATCAACACATATTCTACAAAATATTTGCTTAAAATTCATAAAATAATTCATATAACATGGTCATTGTTGGTTATTACATGGTTATTACACATGGTTATATGTTGATAATTTCAAAATAGCCAAAGATTGGCCAATTATTCATCCGAGATGTATTGTTATGAATATATTTTGCTTGTGATAGACCAACATATAGTTTGTTTTTTGGTCATTTTAAGATTATTGCCATTTGCTGATTACCAAGTACGGTTGATTGACAGAAGTGTTAGTCCCCCTTTAGTTAGTTCCCAAAATTGTCAATGAATAATATAAACGTTTTGGGTGTATGTGAGAAAAGACTGTGCAAAATAAGTGTGAATTTTGTTAATTTTGCAATTTTTGCAATCACATTTGATATATTTTGACCAGTGACCACCACCTTGATTATCTTTTATTCACATTATCAACTTCTGTGAAAATAGGATGAGTTCCAAATCGATTCATTTTGAAATTATTTATTTGTAATTATTTTAGTTTCGGGTTGCTGAATTCATTTTCATTTTCATTCATTTTTCAAGTCTCAATTATTTTATTTTAAATTGATTAATTTTAAAATTATTTATTTCTAATTAACTTAAGTAAGTATTGTGTCAAATAAATAGGCCTGAACATTTAATTGCAGAAATTAAAAATAAAATAAAACATGAAATAGTGTGGTAGTCCTATATCGGTCGACCATTAGACATCAGCCTTTGAAAATCTCTTATCAGTCAGCCGCAACTTTTTTTTTGAGCATCGCCCAAGGCAGATCTGATTGTGGCATCTATTTTTCTCCACTCTGAATCTGAATGGTGCAATTGTTTTTGCTGAAGCCCATGTTTCCTTTCACAACTCATAAGGCCGAGCTGTCAGTACGAGGTCAAAGCAAGTCAGTCTGATAGTCCAATTAGGGCCAGTTACCGTGGCAGCCGCGCTCAAACATCTCACCCCCTGCCCACGTCGATCAGAGCGGTCTAGACCTGCCTCACAGTCGCTCTGAATGGAGATTAATTAGACATTGTCATCTTGCATGCTTTCTTTTCCATCACAAGTCTACCTAGCAATTAAACTGCGCGCAGCCTGCGACGCTGGATTGTGGGACGGCGGTTCAACAAAGCGGGTTTACAAAGAAACACGGGGGGTCTTTGCATGAGTGTGTGTGTGTTCTGATCTATTTGTTGTTCGTTTTCGCATCATCAGCAGTGGTCAGATGAAAATGCAGGGTGTGTGTGTGTATGGATGTTTCAGACGGAGCCTTGGTAACCAGCGTCCTGCTGGTAGTGAACTTGGATGAGAAGAAGGCTAGAAGATTGATTGTACTGTAGATATTTCATGCTTCACTCATAAAAAAATCTTTGACGGTTCCGTAAATTCAGCTAAAACTTCTTGTTAAGAACCTTTTTCACTGTATAGGGTTGTTGAGTTGCTCTTTGGTGAGGTTCTGTTACATTTAATAGGTTCTCAGATCCATATATTGGTTTAAGGGATCTCTCAGTCATAATAACATCCTTTTCATTTATGTGAAATTAAATATGGCAACCTCTAAAGGTCTCTAAACTCTTAAAAATAAAGGTTCTGTACTGGCATCGATGGTTCCATTTAGAACCTTGAACATTCACTGAATGATGGAAAAATGTTCTTTAGATTATTCAAATGTTCCTCACACTAAGAAAAACATAGTTCTTTTAAGAACTGGTCACTTAAAGGTTCTTTAGGGAACCCAAAAATGGATCTTTTATAGAACTGCTGTGAAAACTTCATTCTGGAACTTTTATTTTTAAGACTGTGGGTTGTGAAACCCTTTTGGGCACCTTTACCTGTTACTTTCACATAATAGAAGTTCACTTGTGAGGTTCTGATTAGAGCTGGCCGATATAATAGATTTGCAATGATTTTATTGGAAATGAAACTTGAAGCAACATCAGAAATATCTTGATGGTGTATGTTTAATTCAATTCTGTGAATCAAACTATATGCTTCAATAAACCAGTGCATGGAATTTTTAATATATTACAGGTTTTGTAAACCATATTTTGGTATTTATTGTTATATTGGCACATATAAATGAAAATGATCAAATATTCTTAATTAATTCTGTTCAAATAGTGAAAGACAAGCCTTGAATATTTTCTGTAACTAGATTTCTAGTTCTTGCATCAAACACGTTGAATCTTATTGGTTACACTGACAATTTCATTGAAATGATTGTTCATCTAATTGAAAGAAATGTGCTTTTAAGCCATTTCAGAGCAAATATTGAGACATAAATATTGAGATATAAACATTGAATACGGTCAAACAAACATCTCAGTCAGTGTGACGTGAGTTCTGTCTGAGAGGTTCTTCATGTCTTTCTCACACTGTCTCTAGTTCAAATCACTGAGGTGTCACTTGGGGATGAGTCCTGTAAACCTACTGTGTCTTTCTGTGTGTGGGTTTGAACTCATACTGCACTCACTCGTCTGACTTCACCTTCATTTGTGTGTGTGTGTGTGTGTGTGCATGTGGATGGATGGATTCAAGCTCATAAAGGCCTGTAGATCCCTCAGACTGCAGAGGCAGGAAGAGCCGGCATTGCTGGTGTGTGTGAGGTCATCTCAGAGACTGTTTTCAACATTGATATTAATCAGAAATGTTTCTTGAGCAGCAAATCAGCATATTAGAATGATTTCTGAAGGATCATGTGACACTGAAAGGCTGCTGAAAATTCATAATTGCTATCACAGGAAATTACATTTTAAAATATATTCAAACTGTTAATTTAAATGGTAGTAATATTTCACAGTATGATAAAACATTTGAAACTTTCAGAAATTATTCAAAAATCTTACTGACTCTTCTGAATGGTAACATTTTTGGTTTTTGTAAACTTTATACTTTATACTTTATACTATACTTTTAAATGTTTAATTTTTTTAACTGTCAGAATTTTAAACTTTTAAATTCAAGATTAAAATGTGAAATTTCATTGTCTAGCATTGATAGAATGTCTAGAATAGACATTGATAGAATGCATATTTTTAACCATTTAGCTCTAAAATTAGTAAAAACCTTTTGGTGTAAAATTATGTGATGAGCGTATTACTTACTGGTTTATCATTTTTCACCCCATACTTACACCTTGAAGTCTTTCTCTTAATTTGGGCTAAATCTCACCCGTTTTAGACAACTAAGATAACTTAAAGGGTTAGTTCACCCAAAAATGAAAATTCTGAAGATGAACGAAGGTCTTACGGGTTTCGAACAACACGATGGTGAGTAATTAATGACAGAATTTTCATTTTTGGGTGAACTAACCCTTTAAATCAGCAGAATTTGAAACACAAATGTTCAAAGAAGACATAAAACTCATACAACAATATCACCAAATGTGAGATTTACTGACGATGCAGCATTGGGTCGATGGGGCGAGTAACATTTCTGTCAACTGACCTGAAGCTCTCTCACCACTGGATCATTGTGAATGAACATAAAATGAACATTATCCAATTTAAAGCGATTCTTTGAGATTGTGTGTAATGGTGATTTAATGTGTTATTTCTTTCTTTCAGAGGTCATATACGTTGATTGTGGAGGCTTTGGACTTCAATAATGACTCAAGCACTGGCAGTGAGTATCTCTCATTCTCTCTCTCTCTCTCTCTCTCTCTCTCAAGCACTGGCAGTGAGTATCTCTCTCTCTCTCTCTCTCTCTCTCTCTCTCTCTCTCACACACACACACACACACACACACACGCACATTATTCTGTATCTTTCAAGAGTACAGTCAGAAAGTGACAATGAGAGAGAGCGTGTGTGAAGGCAGCATGCAGCATGTGTGTATTTCTGTGTATTTCTGTGCGTGTGTGTGTTGTGGATGGCTGGCAAACACTTCCTGTTACTAAACCGCTGCCTGCACCTGCTTGCATTCATCAGTCTTTTAAACACATCGTTATAAGTGTGAGACAATCGTACACACACGCAGCAGGGAGTAAGTTAGAAATTTGGGTCATTACTTGCAATAGTTTTGTGTAGAATCAAAGATGTAATGTGTGTATAGTCTATTTTTATTATTTATCCCATTCAGATCTAAATAAGTGTGTGAGTGTGTGCCAAATCTGAACAGGAGGGCAAATATTGACTTGTACTTAACACCAACATGCCAAGTAGCCTTTAGCACGGGTCCAGCTTCTGTAGTGCAGCATTCATTATTAACACACACACACACACACACACACGAATGCCATTTTAGTAAATGCGACAGCAGTGAACATAACCAATCAAATGATTGCTGTGTAACTAGTGTTTAAAGACAAAATAAAGCAGTTGTGTTCACAAACAATAATACTCACAGTAATTCAGCAGTATATTTAATGTATACTGTGCACAATTAATGAACGGGGAATAAAATCTACTGTAATTTTATAATAAATATATTTTATGTAAATATTAAAATTATATTAGAATTTATTTTTTTTATTTAATTTATTATACATACAATAAATAGTGTAATTAAATTCATCTTGTAACATTATAAATGTTTTTATTGTCACTTTTGATCAATTTAATTTGTCCTTGCTTAAAAAAAAAGTATTAAATTCTTTAAAAATAAAAACGTACTAACCCCAAAATTTACAATAAATTGTGTAAATAATATATATATATATATATATATATATATATGTGTGTGTGTGTGTGTGTGTATTTATTTTACATTATATTTTATATATTATATTTGTGTATGTATGTTAGCAGAAATCAAAAACACAACACTTTTGGCTCTTGCACTATGGTGTGATGTTTCCAGCGTCATGCAGGTGTCTGAAGGCTCGTCTCGCTCTCAGGTAAACAGCGAGGAGAGGTAACAGTGAGATCTCAGCTTTGGCAGTCTGGCACCGATGTCTGTCCTCCTGTATTTCTGAAGGACAGGTTTGGGTCAAGACAGTTAGTTCTCTTAAACCACGAGCCACACACACTTCACACACTCCTCTCACAATTTACAGCCCTTCGGCCAAATACCTCACCGCTGTGCTGGATTCTGGCCTGCCCTGAAAAAATTACTACGGTATTCCTCTGCCCAATTGTAAACAAAGTCTATAGTACACTGCTCTTAAAGGGACAGTTCAGGCAAAAATCTGTCATTGTTTTCTGTTTACATGTCCTTTGAAACACAAAATGAGATATTAAGCAGAATGTCTGAGCTACTCTATTTCATGCCTCAAAAGGTGATGGTGATTTATACTATCAAGCTGCAAAAAGATTTAGATCTATTTGTCATGCTAAGCTATCATATGGCTTCAGAAGACTGGAAATACAGGGTAAAAATCATATAAGGGAACATTTGTGATACTTTTAGGGTTTTATTTGTCTATTTTGGTGGTGTAAATTGTATTTTTGTTGTACACAATAGACATTCGGCCTAATATCTGCTTTTGTGTCTCAGAAACCTTTCACCTTTAATCCATAACACAAATCTGCTTGTTGTGATCAGATTTTGTGTGCGTATCAGGGTTGTGTAAACTGGCGTAATTTCACAGTCACGCTGAGCAGAGGCCTAATTAAACCACAGCTGCCCGCTAAAGTGTCCATTTCTCTCTGTCTCTCACTTCTGTAGGCATTAATGGTCAGGTCATAGAGAAAGCGGTCCAGTCAGGCATGATCAACCCAAACCGTCAGTGGCAGGTCTTGAAACACAACGGCCCCGTGGCTCAGTTCCAGTACCAGATTCGGGTGACCTGCGACGAGCACTACTTCGGCTTTGGCTGCAATAAGTTCTGTCGGCCCAGAGATGACTTCTTCGGCCACTATACCTGCGATCACAATGGCAACAAGACCTGCTTGGAGGGATGGGCTGGCCCAGAATGCAACACTGGTAAGTGGTGGGGCCTTTGTCAGATTTACAGTGCTGTTGTGCATGAATTTATGGATTTCATTCTCTCTCTCTCTCTCACACACACACACACACACACACACACACACACGCACATTATTCTGTATCTTTCAAGAGTACAGTCAGAAAGTGACAATGAGAGAGAGCGTGTGTGAAGGCAGCATGCAGCATGTGTGTATTTCTGTGTATTTCTGTGCGTGTGTGTGTTGTGGATGGCTGGCAAACACTTCCTGTTACTAAACCGCTGCCTGCACCTGCTTGCATTCATCAGTCTTTTAAACACATCGTTATAAGTGTGAGACAATCGTACACACACGCAGCAGGGAGTAAGTTAGAAATTTGGGTCATTACTTGCAATAGTTTTGTGTAGAATCAAAGATGTAATGTGTGTATAGTCTATTTTTATTATTTATCCCATTCAGATCTAAATAAGTGTGTGAGTGTGTGCCAAATCTGAACAGGAGGGCAAATATTGACTTGTACTTAACACCAACATGCCAAGTAGCCTTTAGCACGGGTCCAGCTTCTGTAGTGCAGCATTCATTATTAACACACACACACACACACACACACATGAATGCCATTAGTAAATGCGACAGCAGTGAACATAACCAATCAAATGATTGCTGTGTAACTAGTGTTTAAAGACAAAATAAAGCAGTTGTGTTCACAAACAATAATACTCACAGTAATTCAGCAGTATATTTAATGTATACTGTGCACAATTAATGAACGGGGAATAAAATCTACTGTAATTTTATAATAAATATATTTTATGTAAATATTAAAATTATATTAGAATTTATTTTTTTTATTTAATTTATTATACATACAATAAATAGTGTAATTAAATTCATACAATTACTAACCACTATACCTGCGATCACAATGGCAACAAGACCTGCTTGGAGGGATGGGCTGGCCCTGAATGCAACACTGGTAAGGGGTGGAGCCTTTGTCAGATTTACAGCGCTGTTGTGCATGAATTTATGGATTTCATGCTAGAGGTAAAATACTTCACATTTCATATTTGAGGTCTGTTTCCATTGGGCACATTATGTGTGCACACTACCGTTTCAAAGTTTGAGGTTGGTACGATTTTTTAATGTTTTTAAAAAGGTCTCTTCTGCTCACCAAGGCTGCATTTATTTAATAAAACATACAGTAAAAACAGTAATATTGTGAAATATTATTACAGTTTTAAAATAATTGATGTCTATTTGAATATATTGTAAATGTAATTTATTCCTGTGATGCAAAGCTGTGAATTTTCAGCATTGTTACTGCAGTCTTCGGTGTCACATGATCCTTCAGAAATCACTCTAATATGCTGATTTGCTGCTCAAGAAACATTTTTTAACAGCACTGGAAACAGTTGTGCTGCTTAATATTTTTTTTTTTTGGAGACTGTAATGCATTTTTTTAAACATTATTTGATGAATAGCTTATCAAAGTTCAAAAATGATTGTTCAAAAGAAAAAATTTTAAAAGAGAAATCTTTTGTAACTTTATTAATGTCTTTTTGGTGACTTTTGATAAATTTAATGCATTGCTGAATAAATATATACATTTCTAAAAAAAAAAAAAAAATCTTACTGACCTCAAACTTTTGAACAGTGGTGTATATGTGTATATAATATCAGGAAATAAAAAAAAATGTCCAAACCTGAAATACTAATGGAAATTAATTACAATTAAAAAACATTTCTGTTTTTAAAATATGTTTTAAATAATTTTATAAACATTTAAATCGGCTACAAATTGTTCTTTTAAAACAAATTCACAAAACAATGAAAAAATCACTGAAATTTGTGGGAAATGGGATTTCGGCTCGGTCAGACTGGACTCATACTGGCTCTGAATCACTGACCTCATAGGGATGTTGTTATTTGAGATTGTCACTATCACAACAAAGCTTTGGCTCACACACACACAGCATCCCATCTGCCAGCTAGTGTGTGTTGTTAGTGTTTAATACGGTGTGGGTTTGCGACAGTATTAGGGTGGATTTTATCTCTGTAATAGTGTTTATTCCCTCATTCACTCCCGCATGAAGAAACACGAGTGGAGGGGAGGAGAAATTACATCATGTTGGCAGATGATGTTCAGAGCGGCTGGAATGGCGTGATGAGAGAGAACTGCTGAGATCACACAGATGGAGCTGATAGCAGTAACCATATTCCTCTTACTCTCTTGTTTTCTTAGCCATCTGTAAGCAGGGCTGCAGCACTGAGCATGGCTCCTGTAAAGTGCCTGGAGACTGCAGGTAACACATAGCATTTATTTATTCGGATAATCGATTTAATGATTCTTTTCCAATATCAAGTGAGCTGACTTATGTCTAAATAGGCAGTGCCCTTCTAAGGTAGCATGCTAACTCAAAAGCCCATAGCCTCATAAGTAAGCTCAAACGAAACCAATTTTCTGCACTGGCCTACTATTAAGTGACTAATTTGGAACACTACGATGGCAACATATAGAATCTCCTAACTAGGGCTGCAAAATTTTATTTATTTTTTTTATGAGAGAAATTGCAATTGTGGTTTAAAATGTGATTATTTTTTCTTTAAATAGCTTTTTTGTGCATTTTTGTAGGGCTGCACAATTTGGTCAAATTTTTTTATATTTATTAAAATTTTAATAAATAATAATTATTACATTATTTTGATTATTGTTGCTGTTAAAAATAATATACAAAATAAGAAATATTTTAATTCATTCTATTCTATTCTGTTCTGTTCTTCAGCCTGGGTCATTTGTTGAATTGTTTTGTATGGCGTAGACTTGAACACCTGTGGTACGCGACAGCCCTGTCTGAATGGCGGCACCTGCAGTAACACAGGACCAGACAAATACCACTGCGGGGGGCGGTGGCGCCCGACTCCTGATTGAACTTTGTGACTTAAGTTCAGTTTCATTCTGAGGATTATGAATCACAAAAAACTTTTTATTTAGTACACTACAGCTGAATTTTCAGCATCATTACTCCAGTCTTCAGTGTCACATGATCCTTCAGAAATCATTCTAATATGCTGATTTATTATCAATGTTGGAAACAGTTGTGCTGCTTCATATTTTTGTGGGAACTGTAATACATTTTATTTCAGGATTCTTTGATGAATAGAAGTTCAAAAGAATAAAATCTTTTTCTAACATTATAAATGTCTTTACTGTTACTCTTGATCAAATTAATGCACCCTTGCTGAATGAAATTGTATTTGATGTGAGGAATATTCCACATTCATGGAAGTACTGGAGAAAAACCATCATGGATAAAATTCTGATTGATCTGAATTCTCCAAAGAAGAAAAAAAGTTTGATAGATGTTTTCTTGAGTGCACAGTTTGCATGTTTTTGATCAGAATCCCTCACGTTACTTATCAGCGAGTCATTAAAATAAGCCATGTATCGTGTTGCAGTTCATGTCAGCCATCTGACGAGAAACTCAGTTTTATTTACTGGCCAAAGCCAAATTTGACTCACATTTGGCACTTGGTGACGGTTAATTTTGGATCCTTCATGTCCATATTTATCTTTTCTCGATTCTGTCATCTATCTTTCTTTGGACAGGACATTTTTATGCGCAGTAAGGGAGAAAAGAGCAGAGAGACACACACGCAAACATACACTTACTAATCAAGCCGTTCGTATCCTGGCCAAGCCGAAGAATGCAGTGTGCATTCATTTGATTTGGGCAGAATAATGCATCACATCGTGTCACATATGTGTGCTGGAAAAATAGATCTGTTGCTTGGGTTGGTTTGGCACGGTGTGTCTTCTGTCAAACACACTTCACCAGGCCATCCTGGATGCAATAATAGAGATATTTTCTTGTTCTGCTGTTTTCGTTTTGCTCTGGTTTGCTTCGATTTTTGTTTATCCTTTTTCTTGTCATGTTTTATTGGAAATACAAGCTCACGGCCTCTTGCTACACTCGTCTGTTTTTGTTGGTGGTCTCTGTGCGGTGTGAGAAAGGCCAAAGGGGCTTTCCCGTCCACTGACTGATCTGATAAAGAGCGATAGAGCGAAGAGAGGGAGTGACTGGGAGATTGAAAGGGGAAAACCAAGACGTGACCCTGCCTGACTGTCTGTGAACTCTAAGACAATGTGATTTGAAGCAACAAAACTCACACTGATCCTTCTCTCTCTCAGCTGAACATTCAGCTGACCCTTTGCTAAACTCTGCGACCGTGGCTTGCTCTGAGAAGCTTTACAGAACGTCTCATGATCTCTGAATTGGGGAAAAGCCCTGTTTTCAGTAAAGCTTTACAGAAACAGAGGACTGCTATATATTTGCATTAGAAAACTATAAAAAAAAATTTTTTTTGTGGCAGATATTAGTGAAATGTCAGTTTGCATGCTGTAACTGAGCATTTGTATTTCCACAGCATTGTAAAATAAGTTAAAAAAAAAAGTCATAATGTACAGTCAGTGGGTCAATTTTTTTAAAATTATTTTATATAGTTATTTTAGTATTATTTATTTACTATTAGAGTGTTTATCAATATTTTGAATTGGCTTGTGTATATTTTCAATATTTGTTTTAATTTTAGTAAATGTTTCAGTATTTTTTGTCATTTTTATAATTTTTTTAATATTTAATATTTTTTCTTTTTATAAATTTAGTTTTCTTTTTATTTCAGTTTTAGTTTTGGTAATTCTAGTACTTATATAAGCTTAACTTAAACAACTTCTTCAGTAAGTTGCCAAGGCAAATGTTTTTAATATTTCTTTGTAAAGTTTTAATGTTTTATTTTATTTTATTTTAATTTTTATATATATAGTTTTATTATTTCAGTTTTAGTTTTAGTAATTCTAGTACGTATATAAGCTTAACTTAAACAACTTCTTCAGTTAGTTGCCAAAGCAAAATTTCTAATGTTTCTTTGTAAAGTTTTATTTTATTTTATTTATTTATTTTTTTTGCAATTAATAAAACCTATTTTTAATGGTTTTCATTAACAATAACAACACTGCCTGACACGAAGTGGCTACTAACCAACTAACTGGTTAAATAAATGGACATGAATTTTTGATTTGAGTTTTAATTATTATTACGTGAGTGGAAAGAGACCGTGCAGTCATAAGATAACATGAGACAGGCAGAGGCATACACAGTGCTGCTAGATAGAAAGGGAGTTTGTCATTGTTTGGCAAATGTGTGGTCCATGTGTTTTATTTTGGGGTAAAATGTCTGTGTATTTTGTGCATTCCTTTGGAAAATGCTGTTCTGTCTCAGTTTTGCTTTGATTGTGTGTGAGCCCTACATTATAACATCTCTCTCTCTGGCTCTCTGCAGCGGATAACGCCTGTCTGTCTGAGCCGTGTCTGAACGGAGGCAGTTGTGTGGAGTCCAGTCAGGGCTTTGAGTGTCAGTGTGCGCCGGGCTGGACCGGACCGTCCTGCAACATCAGTAAGCCATCTCTGCACTGTCTCAAACTGCTCAGATTGGCCTTTGGTTTTTCATACATCAAACTACTTTGAAGGAGAGAGCTGAGCCATATATAGAAACCAGAATGAGACTTGGAGTTGGGCTCTTTTGACTCAAGCCAGAGAGCAGCCACCCAGAATAACCGAGCAACTGCATGTCATCACATTAAAATCACTCAGAACACTGTAGCAACGGCATAGCAACACACTATTTGAACTTTTTTCAAGTAGGCTATTTGTCCCTTATTCTACAAGTAAAATATCCTAACTAGGGGTGAGCAAAATTGTTTTTTGTGCTTAAAAAACAAAAAACTTGCCAGTAGACAAGCAAACATATGTTCTATGAAAATATGTCTTACACAATGTTGCTTTTCAAATAAACAAATCTTGCTTTAAGGATGTTTAGAAATTTTTGCTTGAAAAGTAAGACTAAGAAAATACTTATTACTAATGATTAAATAATAATGTTAAAAAATATTAATTATATAGTATAAATAAAGATTTTAATATAGTTATATTAGTTATTATTAAGAAATATATATTAATTATTAAATATCATTAACAACAGTGGCCAACATTAATAATAATAATAATAATAATAACAACATTTTTAATTATTATTTTTAATAATTAAAAATGCATTTATTTGATGAAAAATACAATAAAAACTATTAGTAATATTGCTATTAATAAAACTATTAGTAATTTGCAAAATATTATTATCATTTGAAATAACTTGTTTGTAATATTTGAATATATTTTAAAATGTAATTAATTCCTGTGATGAATTTTCCTTCAGAAATCATTCTAATATATTAGAACAAGATAACTGAAACCAAACTCTGAATTTCAGAAGTCTCTTAAACTATGATGTCTCCCCCTCTTCCTCAGATGAAGATGACTGCAGTCCGAACCCGTGCAATCACAGCGGCGTGTGTGTGGACCTGGTGGACGGTTTTAAATGCATCTGCCCCACGCAGTGGACTGGAAAGACCTGTCTCATTGGTGTGTGCCTCCCTCTCTTTCTTTGAGTCAGGGTGTGTTTGTTCAAAAATCCAATTTACCGTGGTAACCGAGTCAGCCTTGGAAGAATTTAAGTACCAGACCACCATGAGACCCCCGCCGCTGATTCATACGAAAGCGCATTTACAGTCCATTAACACACACGCACAAATTCCTGAGGGACGCTTGGCTGCGTGCGTATCAGTCTGATTGTAATTTAGACTGCTCATGCTGATTTCTTTTGTCATTTTTGGCTCAGATGCTAATGAGTGCGAGGAAAGCCCATGCGTCAATGCCCTCTCCTGCCGGAATCTGATTGGCGGATACTTTTGCGAGTGCCTCCCTGGTTGGATGGGCCAGAATTGCGACATCAGTAAGTATTTCACGGTTTCAAATGAATGCAGGCAGAGTTTGAATTATTAGGAGCTCTAAAAGAAGTTCAGATGTTTGCATATCATATAGCAGTGTTGGGTGTAATGCATTACTAAGTAATTAATTACTGTAATTTTCCACTGAAAAAGTAAAGTAAGGGATTACTCTTCATTTTTCTGTGATTTAATTACAGTCACCTCTAATGTAATTGCATTAAATACTCTATAGACTATAGAACAATTCTCTGTAAAACAATGGTGCAATTAAAATCAAAATATTACATCTAATGTTAAAATATATATATATATATATATATATATCGTTTTTTTTTAAAGAATTAAATAGCAGTTTTATGTCTGTCCTTGTATTGTTCAGCTGGACAAGATTGATAAGGGATTTGGAAAGTGATTAGTAATAAGCAATGCAATACTTTAGAGAGAGTAATTAGTACAGTAATCTAATTACACTGTTGGAAATGTAATTAGGAGCTAGTAATTAGTTACTTTTTTAGAGTTGTTAAATAAACCTATTAAAAATGTCTTCATTTGTTGCAATAAAGCTGAAATAAAGTCAAATTATTAGATGAATATTAGATGAAAAGCTTTACCGTAAATGCTTCCTTGACAACTAAATGAAATAAAAAATAATGAAATACTAAAATAACCAAAATTAAAACAGAAATAAAAATAAATTAAATTATTATTCTATTAGTAAATAGAAATATTTAAAAAAAAAATACTAAAACTAAAAAAGACATAAAAAACATAAGATAATAATAGTATATAAATTATACTAAATAACACTAATATTACTAAGCATGAAAATGAAATAAAAAATAATGAAATACTAAAATAACCAAAATTAAAACAGAAATAAAAATAAATTAAATTATTATTCTATTAGTAAATAGAAATATTTTAAAAAAAAATACTAAAACTAAAAAAGACATAAAAAACATAAGATAATAATAGTATATAAATTATACTAAATAACACTAATATTACTTGCTAAGCATGACAGTAGTTGTCCATTATTTATTTCATATTTTTCCAAAAACTAGTGGTTTAGTGTGGCAAAATACAACATTGCTCTCTGGTAGGTTCATTGAAATGAATCCGTTCCAAAAAAATGATTCACCAATTCATTCGATTCATCAAACAGTTTTCCTAAAGATCCCAGCATGACATTTAAGCAAAGCCCTATCAGTTGTAGTATGGATATGAATGATACCTAAAATCGTGCAGGTCATTAAGAGAGAGAGAGAGAGTTTTTTTAATGACCAGACATTTAATTTTTGTCTGGTTGATAGTAAAATGGTCAAAAACAACTGAAATAGACTTACTGAAGGAGTGACCTGAGCAATATTTAGATACCAGACTATCAGCGATTTGGCAAATGCATTGCCACTTGTAAGTTTATTCAATATTTTGACTAATTTTATTAGCTTTCAGCTGCTAAAAGCGTCTAGTATTCTCAGCCATCTCTGTTTCACATGTTTCACCTGGTTTAAACTCAAGATTTTCTCCCGAAAATGCAAATAAGTGTGCAGACTCTGTCTGGGCCTGATATGGAGCCTGATCTTGCTTTCTTGGCGTGATTTCTGAAATGTGAACTGATATTTTGATGGGTTCCCCCCCCCCCGCAGATGTCAACGACTGCCACGGACAGTGTCTTAACAGAGGACTGTGTAAGGTAAGGCCTCAAATGTTTTCCAGCGCTTTTGGCAGATGTGAAAGCCCCCCGTTTCTATCACCTCCATCCATTCCTGTTTAAAAATAGCAGAAGCTGAGTCATGTTTTGGAGAGTGAACATAAAGACAAAGTGGTCAAAAAGACAGAGTGAGTTTGTGAAACGATCGGATTACCATAAACATTCTTGTCTCCTGCCCTTGTCTCCTATCCATTGTTTTTTCGCTCTCTCTGTATACGTTGCTCACTCTGGTTCAGTGCTGTAGTCCAGGCTGAGTGGTGTACAGCTGGAATGCATTAGGACTTTGTCTGAGCCAGTTAGCTCTCAAAACACAGCGAGGAAAGACCTAATCAGTTCTGACAATCCCATCTTTGATTTGATCAAATGAAACATGTTGTAATGGACTTTAGGTTATTAGTCCCTTATAGAAAGTAAAATATCTGTACTAGGGGTGAGCGTTATTGTCTTGTGTTTGATTTATGCTTAAAAGAAAAACTATTTGTCAGTGGGCCAAGAAAATAAAATTCAAGATGCATTCTATGAAAGTATGTTGTATCTTACACAGTTTTGCTCCTCAAGTGAATTAATCTTGTATTAAGGATGTTTTTTTAGACATTTTTGCTTTAAAACAAGACTTTAATTTAATAATTATTAATATAAAGGACTAATTGTTTTTGAATTATATTAATAATGATTATTAATACTATTAATACAGTTAATTATTTTACTGTATAGCACAGAAAAGTTAATAATAATAATAATAGTAATTGTTGTTGATGTTATTAATATATTGTGTAGAAAGTAAGAATTCAGAAAATCTATAAATTATTAAATAACATTATTAATAATTATTGACAAATCATATTATTAATAACAATAATAATAGTAATTGTTATTAATATTATAATTAATGTTTACAGCAATTATTATTTATCATTTTACTCAGCTTGAAATAATAAAATAATAACAATAATTTTATTTTACAATATAATATATTATTATTATTATTTAATATGGATTAGTGTAAATTATATTATTAATGATTGTTAATATTAATAATATTAATACAACTACTTTTTTACTGTATAGCAAGGATGAATTGTTATTATTAATATTAATAACAATTATAATTATTATTATTACCAGAATTAAGAAATTATGCAATATATAAATACTACTACTACTACTACTACTACTACTACTAATAATAATAATAATTATTATTATTATTATTATTAGTAATGTTTACAATAATTATTATGTATCATCTTCATCAATATGAAAAATAACAACAACAATGATTTTACTTCACAGTATATTCAATTATTATTATTTCATGCTGATTTTTGTAATATTTCTTTTTTGAGTGAATATACCATTACGCCGCCCATTCCTAATGTCTCTCTCTCTCTTGCTCTGTGTGTGTGTGTCTGTCAGGATCTTGTGAATGGATATCGATGTGTGTGCGCAGCAGGCTTTGCAGGTGAACACTGTGAGCGAGACGTGGACGAGTGCGCTAGTCGCCCCTGTCTCAACGGCGGACGCTGCCAGGACGCTGTCAATGGATTCCAGTGTTAATAATAATAATAATAATTATTATTATTATTAGTAATGTTTACAATAATTATTATGTATCATCTTCATCAATATGAAAAATAACAACAACAATGATTTTACTTCACAGTATATTCAATTATTATTATTTCATGCTGATTTTTGTAATATTTCTTTTTTGAGTGAATATACCATTACGCCGCCCATTCCTAATGTCTCTCTCTCTCTTGCTCTGTGTGTGTGTGTCTGTCAGGATCTTGTGAATGGATATCGATGTGTGTGCGCAGCAGGCTTTGCAGGTGAACACTGTGAGCGAGACGTGGACGAGTGCGCTAGTCGCCCCTGTCTCAACGGCGGACGCTGCCAGGACGCTGTCAACGGATTCCAGTGTCTGTGTCCACCTGGTTTCTCAGGTGCCACGTGTCAGGTGAGCTCCAAAACCTTTTCTGGTCATTAATGATTTGTTGTAAACGTGCCTACATAAACCTTGTGAGCAGGTATTAGAGTGTGTGTGGTCTGTGTGATTTTGTCTTCAGCTGGACATAGACTACTGTGAGAGTGGCGCGTGTCAGAACGGAGCTCAGTGTTTTAGCCTGGCCTCAGATTACTACTGTAAATGTCCCGAAGATTACGAAGGCAAAAACTGCTCCCAACTTAAAGACCACTGCCTCATCACACCATGCCAAGGTAGGTTACCCAGAAAATCCAGTAGTATATATATCAATATATGGCTCATAATATTATATATTATATATACAGTATATATATATATATGAAGAGTTGCAAATATATATATATATTTTGAGTTAAAAATATTTTTTCCCCTCTTCTTTTTATTCACAAGTGGATCATGGCCCACTGGCCCTCTCGTAATGTTTTTGTAGCCGCGCGGCTTTAGAGTTCCATTCTCATTCCTGTCGTCTCAGAAAACAAAACAAACTCCTGTTCCTGTCAGTTGGGTCAGAGATAGGGGCAGTGGTGGGGTGGGGTGGTAACAGTGAAGGGCGGTGGGGGTGCAGCAGCTCAAAGCCTTTTGTCCAGTGGGAAAGACCGTGTCAGCAGCCAGTGAGAAAAGGGGCTCCGGTCATTTGGCCACAGTAAAAGACCAAAAGTGTAAAGATTAGGGACCTAAGGGGTCGAGGTAAAAGCCTATGACTAATGTGGCTGGTCATTCACAGCTCTTGCCACATTGTTTGTCCACTGTCCAGATGGTCACTGGGAATAAATCACAGCGAGAGAGGGAGCTCAGTGGATTGCTAGGCTTGACTTCCTGTCAGATTATCGTGTAGTGAAGAAAGTCACTTGCCTTTTATTTTTCTCACTTTCTGATTTTTAGATCAGCATTTCAGATAAAAAGCAACTTTTTTTTTGTCTCATCCACTAAAGCAGTTGCTACAGTAGACTGCTGTATGTATATATATATATATGTATTTATTTGTTATTATTTTTTATGAATAATATTGAAAATTATTTTATCTTTATTTATTTCATTTAAATTATTTATTTCACTTTATAGAAAATAAATGGGATTTTTACTTCTTTGTTACTTTTACTTCTTTATTTCGCAAACCTGAGCTAGTTGGTTTACTGTCAATGAAAGATATCCATTGAAAATCCGTGTTAGCTCTAGAGCGAATACTGGAGGAGTCCTGAAGTCTCCAGCTTCATTGAGTGCTAATCGGCGCTCTCAGACTCCAGATCGCGAGCCTCATGTAAGATTATCTGGTTGGGCACATTCTGAGGTTTTAATGGGCACTGGAAATAGAAGTCCAGTCTTTTTTTAGTCAGCGCAGCCGTAAGACTATCCTCATCTCAAGGCCTCGGCGCGTTTGATGCTGTGCCATTGTGTATGCCGTAGCGTTAGCGATTGCTAACTCTAGTCTATTGGTCTCCTGGGCTGGAGCACCATGGTAACAGCTAGGATATCGTTACATGACGCGTATGCTAACCCAGAGTGAGCTTACCGAGAGGGGAAAACCCACCGCTAGTCAGACTACATGACGACTTGGCTAATTCTTAGCATGCCGCTGTCTGCTTTCATCATAGCTGTCAGTGACATATTTGGATGAAGGCAGAGTTCCCATGGTGATGGAAACCCTGGAAATATTTTCAAATTTTATTTAAAAGTCATGTTAATTCAAAAATCTTAAAATTCAATGACTTTTCATAGAAATTTCTGTGGTGATTTTTTTTCTAGATATGCTCAGTTCTAAAATATTTAAAATTGCACAAATGTCAATTTAAAAGTCATGGAAAGTCATTGTTCAGATTACTTTTTTTGTTTATCTCGTTTAAAGGATGTTTAGATGTTTTTTTTCTCTAAAGCAAGACTAAATAAAAATACTTGTTAATTATGAAATTTTATTATTAATGATTATTAATTAATAATATTAGTAATTATTTTACTGTATAGCAAGTAAGAAGAAATAACAACGATAATAATAATTACTTTTTTGCAGTTATTATTATTTACTGTAAAACAAGAATTTAAGAAAATATTAAAATACTTTCATTATTACTTGAATAAATTATTATTACTTAGTAAAACATAATAATTAATGTTATTAGTAATGTTGACAATAAGTATATTTAATATTCTTAATCAGCATAAAATAGTAATAATAATAAAAATAATATATTCATAATTATTAACTATATAATTATTGTTATTATTATTACTACTATTTTCAGAATGATTAAGATTATAATAAATAAAGTTATTGTCAACATCAATACTATTAATTCTATAATATTAATAATAATAATAATTATTATTATTATTAGGAATGCCGTGGAGAGAAATCTAGCTAAAACCAGCTTCTATATGTTTTCTAGCTGGTCTGAATGACTACCAGTTGCTGGACTTGATTCTGACTTATTCTAGATTAAGGATTTTGACCAGAAGGAATGTTGATGACTCAGTCCTCATGTTTTCCTGCAGTGATTGACAGCTGCACGGTTGCCGTGGCGTCTAACAGCACTCCGGGCGGCATGCGGCTCATCTCCTCTAACGTTTGTGGTCCTCACGGCCGCTGTCGAAGTCACGCCGGAGGGCACTTCAGCTGCGAGTGTCAGGAGGGATTCACCGGCACGTACTGCCATGAGAGTAAGCCCAATTCGTATCCCAGTGTCCTTTGCTGTCGTTAGATTCAACGCCTCCCAAACTTTTCAGCAGCGCATCTCTCACTCTTTACTCTCAGACATCAACGACTGTGAAAGTAGTCCCTGCCGTAACGGCGGTACTTGCATTGATAAAATCAACGCGTACCAGTGTATCTGTGCTGATGGCTGGGAGGGACACAACTGTGAGAGCGGTGAGTGCATTTCACCTTTGAATATCACTTTATGCAATTAAAAACACTTCTAATTTCTCCAATTATATTGATCGCTAAAATATTGTGCGTTTCCAAAACAGACATTGACGACTGCAACATGAACCCCTGTCGGGATCGAGGAGTGTGCCGTGATCTGGTCAATGACTTTTACTGCGAGTGTGAAAACGGCTGGAAGGGAAAGACCTGTCACTCACGTAAGCCCCGCCTCCTCATTTGCATACCAGTATAAGTGGTGATAAGTATTACTATATATTTTAAGGTGATAAGTATTATAAAAGTGGCTTAATTTCTGTCAGTTAATCATCATGGCACTTCCACATCCTGGCATGAATTATATGATGATTTGTAAAATCATGTTAATTCGTAAAATCTTGAAATGTCCGGTGTCATTTCATGAAAATTTCTTTTGTCAGTAACATTTTTCTAGTTATGCAAATGGCTGGAAAAGTCATTGTTAAATGACTTTTTGCTTTTCAAATGAATTTATCTTGTTTTAAGGATGCTTAGATATTTTTGCTTTAAATAAGACTAAATAACAAAATACTCATTAATAAAAAATTACGAAATTGTTTATAATGATTATTAATTAATAATGTTAACACTATTGATTATTATTTTACTGTATAGCAAAAAAAATTATTAACTATAATAATATCAATTAATTATGAATTAAAATAATATTATTAATATAATAATAATTATTATTATTATCATTGTTGTTATTATTTAACTGTTGCTGTTATTTAAATGTTAAACAAGTAAAAATTCTAAAAATATTTATTATTATTATTAATTTGATTTAACTAACAAAGTTATAATAAAAAACATCTAAAATTTCGTCAACAATCAGCCACTATTGTCAAGCAGATTCAATATGTTTAATGTAAAAACAAAAATACAGTAAAAATCTTGCATGTTTTTTCACAAATAAGAATATTGTAATTTAATAAAATCTTTAAGAATGATATTTAATCTTTTTAATTTATGTGAAAAGATAATCTAATTAAATATAATAAAAATTTATTTTTACAAAACTATTCGAAAACCGTCCCTGAACATTTTTGAGTGATGATACAAATGAATCATTGAATCAGAGTTTTGAATCAGTTCATTTAAAAAGACAGTTTGAACTGATTCATGGAAACAAATCTGACTTTCTGACTAGTTTAATTTTTGCCAATCAAACGCTATTATCCTGCAAGTCACAAGACAATGAAAGGGTCGCAGAATTAGCCTAATAAATCATTCAGGTATGCAGTAAATGATTTGAATATAGTCCATTAGTCTGACAGCTGATTTCTTCTCGTTTATAGGCGAGAGCCAATGTGACGAGGCCACTTGTAACAATGGGGGCATGTGCTCTGACGAAGGCGACTCATTTAAGTGCATGTGTGCTCCTGGATGGGAAGGAGCTACCTGTAACATAGGTGAGCCGCTAACAACCTGGCTGAGCATTTTTGTGAACTGGCCTCTTAATCAGTTTCTAAAGCTTTTCCCCTTCACTCCACAGCAAAGAACAGCAGCGTGCTCTGACGAAGGCGTCTCATTTAAGTGCATGTGTGCTCCTGGATGGGAAGGAGCTACCTGTAACATAGGTGAGTCGCTAACAACCTGGCTGAGCATTTTTGTGAACTGGCCTCTTAATCAGTTTCTAAAGCTTTTCCCCTTCACTCCACAGCAAAGAACAGCAGCTGCCTGCCGAACCCCTGCGAGAACGGAGCCACGTGTGTCGTGACAGGTGACAGCTTCACCTGTGTCTGCAAAGAAGGCTGGGAGGGGCTCACCTGCAGCCAGAGTACGGCAAAACTTCCTGTTCCACTTCCTTACTACTTCCTGTCTTGACTCCTGTCTACTTCCTGTTTCCAACTCTCACCTTTTGCTGCTTAAGGTTCTCTTCCAAACTATATACTAATTGGACAGCTCCTTAAAGCTGAAGTGTGTCATTTCTGCGCCACTAGCGTCATCATTATAGCTGTCTCTGGATAGGAGAACGTTTTTTATCATACAAAAAAATGACACACGTCGCCTTTACCTTCAGTGGCAGAACGCCAGGCTTTTCTATATGATCACAGAAAATGCCTTAAATAGTACAGAGTCTGATGAGTAGTTTCAGCTGAAATATTATTAGCAAACATAACGTTGATGGATAATTGTTCAGGTGGGATTATGATCTGCCATTTATGACTGTGGTGAAATTATTGCGACTGATCTACTGGTTGACTATAATGTGAATTATAGACAGTCGTGCATGTGAACATGTTGATTTCACTCCAACGTGACAATAATCTTCAGATGAATGTTTCTGTTTCGAATAACATTTAATAACAAAGTGTTTAATGTTTAATTTACAGATTCCAATGATTGCAACCCACAACCATGGTAAGCTTCATTTTAGGTCAATCAATTTTGTTGTTGCTTGCAAATTTTATTTAATTTAATATTGAATTTAATAAATTTTAAAGCATGATTAAAATATTTTTTTCACTTATAAAACAATTTAATAATATAACAATAAATATAAGCAGCAATATTTACCTACATATATTTTTAAACCATTTTAATGTATGAAATACAGTGCAAATTAAGCACAGTAAATAGTATGCATAAAACTATATATAATATATATATATACATTATAAAAATAGTATAAATAGTAAGCTTAATTTCAATTCAATAAATTATGTTGATGCCTTCAAGTCATATGGGAATGATCACATTTATGAAATACGCACACATAAACGACACCATAAAATAAAAAAGTATATATTTAAGTCCTGAACTTAATAGATTTTAATGAAAGAATCATGGCGGAGGCTAATTATTAATATTTTTTTATTGTAATTTATTACGTTTTTAATATAAGTTTTTAGTTTTTTTTTTTTTATTATTGTTCTCTGTGGGTGCACAAGAATAAAAAAATAAACAAATTATAAATAATAATAAACTGATATTTTCTTGCATTACCACTAAAAAGCTTTCTGTGTTTGCCAACAAGTGGAAGAGATAGGGAGAAATTTGAAGTTAAATCAGTTTACTGTATTTTAAGACATGACTTGAATAGAAATTTCCCAGGAGGACTTGAAGGCAGCATGTGTCCTGGTGAACTTTGACCCCGTGTCTCATCATGTGTGTAATGTGTGTGCAGCTATAACAGCGGGACGTGTGTGGACGGTGATAACTGGTACCGCTGTGAGTGTGCCAGTGGATTCGCAGGGCCGGACTGTCGCATCAGTGAGTGATTCATGCTTCATCAGTGTGTTGTGAGGTTGTAGCTAAATTAATTCAATATAAATAGTCATATTGACACTAGGGTTGTGACGGTGAGGAAATTTTCCCACCGGTTAATCGACGTGTGACAACACCGGTAATACCGGTAACGCCGGGGGCGTTCCCTCTTTTCCTCGCTTTCCTTCGCTTTTAAATAGCTTGTAAAAGCAGCGTGCACATTTTACTTTCACTTTCAAAATTGTAGTGTCTGTTCTTTTACTGAACTAAATGATCTTTATTACTACAAAAAATCAAAACGACGGTGGGGGTCGGTGCCGCGGTGGATAAGTGACGTAACCGTTGTTGCAGCTTAACACCGGTATCACCGTCAGCACCGTCTGTCGCGGCAAGCCTAATTGACACATAAGATGGTGATTTTACAGTGGTATTAACCATGCATGTCTCACCCCACAGACATCAATGAGTGCCAGTCGTCTCCCTGTGCGTTCGGCTCCACGTGTGTCGATGAAATTAACGGCTACCGCTGCCTGTGTCCACCCGGCAGAACCGGGCCCAGGTGTCAGGAAGGTACATGCTCCATGCTTGCTGTTTAATATTAACTTATTAGTCATGCAGCTATTGCTCATACAGAATTCAAACTTAAGTATTAAACCGTTACAGAGTTGATACTTCCAATCATGCATTCATTAGGGGAACTTTTCTGTCCCCTAGAGAATAATTTAGATGTTTTTTTTCTAGATTTAAAGGATATATTATAATAGATTTTAAACTTTACTATCTATTCTATTTATTATAGCTAATATAATATCTATTGTGTTAATATTATTGTGTAATTAAAAAAAAAAAATCATGATCAAACTAGGTTTGTTTGGTGTTGCTACTAAAACCCTTAGTATTTTTTTCCGCTGTAGATTTAAAGGATATATTATATCCTCAGTTTAGCTTTTAAACTTTTGATTTTATCTATTGTGTTAATATTATAGTGTATTTTATTATTTTTTTTTTAAATCTAGATTTAAAGGATATATTATTGTAGCTTTTAAACTTTTGATTTTATCTATTGTGTTAAAATTATGGTGTAATTTATTTATTTATTATCTTTTTTCTAGATTTAAAGGATATATTATAATAGATTTTTTATTTTTTACTGTGACTATTGTGTTAATAGTATTATGGGTTTTTTTGCATCATGAGCTCAGAGTTGGTTTAGTTTTGGTTTTAATTTTTTTTTAAATAATTCAGTATATTAAATAATTATAAAATGTACAAATAATACATTTAGTAATTTAAATTCAGAAGCAATCCATTTCTTTATTTTTGAATTAATTTTTCTTAATTAACAGTTACCACGCACAAGCTAACTTATTGTAATTAGCAAGATCAATGCTTATTTTATCTATTTTTTTTCGCAAAAACATTACAAACTGTGAATAATGGGACAAGCAATAAGTTTCAGTCAAGCATCAGTTTAATTTTTCAAGATCTCAATAGTCAGAAGTGGAGAAGATAAAGTGTAGATGTAGCATGGTTTTTAAATGGCTTGTTTTTTCTCTCAGTCACCGGACGTCCGTGTGTGGTCGGAGGACGGATTGCTGTAGATGGAGCAAAGTGGGCTGAAGACTGTAACACCTGTTACTGTCACAGGGGGATTGTCAGCTGTACAAAGGTATGTCAGCGTGAGCCTGTGTGTTGAAGCTGTCGTTAATCATGGACAGAAGTTAATAGTGATGCATTATGGCTTCCTTCCTCTCTTCCACAGCTGTGGTGTGGCCCTAAACCTTGCCGGATGCTTGGCTCGGGACGAGGCGACTGTCCTCTGGGTCAGCTGTGTGTGCCGGTGCGAGACGAGCAGTGTTTCGTGAAGCCCTGCTCCTCACAGGGCGAGTGCTGGTCTGCTCACCGGCCAGCCATGAGGGCCCGCTGTGACCCCGAGAGCGACTGCGCCAACATCACCTTCACCTTCCACAAGGACACCATGCCACAGGTGAGGACACTGGGACTGGCATTTAAAGTGTGCTGGTGGGGTTGGGTGATTAGGTTGCATATATTGGATTAATGCACACATTTTGAAATGTTTTCTGATGTGTATTTGTTTTGGCTCTCAGGGAGTGACGGTGGAGCAGGTGTGTCGTGAGCTGAGGCATCTGTATGTGGCTAAAAACGTTTCAGCTGAGTTTTCCATCTCTCTGAGCTGTGAACTCTCTTCTGCCGCCAGTAATGAGATCCATGTGGCCATCGTAAGTCACATTCATGCAGTATTTCATTGGCTAGAAATAGCTTGTTGTAGTGCAGTTTTAATATCCTTATAGTATTGAAGAATGACTGGAAAAGTCGTCTAAAAGGTGTATAAATAATATATTTATATTACTTTTGTTTATTATATGATTATTTTTTATTTATATTATGTATTTTATTATAATTACTATTATTTGCACTAATCATTTAATTCTGCTTTAATTCAATAATAGCTTACAAGCTTCAGTCGTAAAAAATGTTTTAATTTTTTTAATTTAAATGAGTGCTGTCAAACGATTAATCACAATTAATCGCATCCAAAATAAAAGTTTTTGTTTACATAATATATGTGTGTACTTTGTATATTTATTATGAATGTATAAATATACACACATACATTATATATTTTGAAAATATGTACATGTATATATTTATATTCATATCATTTATAATATATGTAAATATATTTAATATATAAACATAACATTTTTCTGAAATATATACATGCATTTATATGTACATAATAAATATACACAGTACACACACATATTATGTACACAAAAAATTTATTTTGGATGCAATTAATCGTGATTAATCCTTTGACAGCACTAATTTAAATATTTTGTTCATTTGTATTTTATTATTATAATTTTTATTATTTTCATTTTAACACTATGTATTTAATTCTGATTTAATTTAATAATAGCTTATAAAAATATTTATGTTGATGCATTTTAAAGGAAATATTGTGCATGTTTTTTATTATATTATATTATTTTATTATATATTATGTTGTTGTATTATATTTGTTATCATTTTAACACCCCATGCATTTAGTTCTGCTTTAATGAAATAACAACAGCTTCAGTCATAAAAAGACACAAACTAATATATAAATATTGTATTTTGTAGCATGTGACTGAGGATGGCATTCACGGCCGGGTTCCTGTTAAAGAAATCACGGACAGCATCATCGATCTGGTGAGCAAACACAGCGCGAACAGCTCCATCATCGGCTCCATCGCTGAGGTCCGTGTTCAGCGCAGACAGCCGCAGAACCCCAACGGTGAGACACCACAGGAAGCCAGGAAGCTCTTAACGTTAGAGGAAGTAGCCATAGGTACAAATGATGGATGCTCTGATTGGAAATAAAGCACCATTTTATGCAAATTCAGAACAAATACATAAATATTGAGATTAGTGCTGTCAAACGATTAATCGCGATTAATCGCATCCAAAATAAACGTTTTTGTTTACATTATATATGTGTGTGTGTACTGTGTATATTTATTATGTATATATAAAGACACACACATGCAGCATATATTTTGAAAATATTTACATGTATTTACATATATATATTTATATTCATATAATTTATATCATAAATAAATATATTTAATATATATACGTAACATATTTTTCTTAAATATATACATGCATGTGTTTGTATTTATATATACAGTACATAATAAATATACACAGTACACACACATATATTATGTAAACAAAAACTTTTATTTTTGGATGCGATTAATCACGATTAATCGTTTGACAGCACTAATTGAGATACATACTATCAATCAGAAGTTTGGGGTTAGTGAGGGGGTTTTTTTCATTTAAAAAAATAATACTTTTATTCAGCACGGATGCATTAAATTGTTCAAAAGTGAAAGTAAAGACATTTATAATGTTCAAAAGACTTCAATTGCAAATAAATGCTGTTCTGAACTTGAAGAATCTTGAAAAATGATTTCCGCAGCAACAACTGTTTTCAATATTGATAATAACAAGAAATGTTTCAGCATACTAGAATGATTTCTGAAGGATCATGTGACACTGAAGACTGGAGTAATGATGCTGAAAATTCAGCTTTGCATCACAGGAATAAATTATATTTTAAAATATATTCAAATAGAAAACGGTTAATTAAAATTTTTCAAAATATTTCAAAATTTTACTGTTTTTACTGAATTTTTAGTCAGATACTTGTAGCTTTGGTGAGCATAAGAGGCTTTTCCCAACCCCAAACCTTCATATATAATATGAATAATTATTCGTATATATAAAAAAAAAAATTATATTCAGCTACAACACAAGACTATTCAGTTTTATTAACACATATCAAATATAATAAAATGAAAAATGCACAATGAAGGGATGTAATATTTTGCCAGCTTGTTTTTATTAATCCGTTTTCATTGGTTCTCTTGTTCAGTAGACTACTTGGTGCCACTGTTGGTGTCCATAGTGACGGCGATCTGGGTTTTGGCACTGGCGTCGGTGTTCCTGTGGTGCGTGCGGCATCGACGCAAACAAAGCTCCAGCCCCACCGCCATCAACCCCGCCGCCCCCTACTCCACGGGAAGCACAGAAGACAACACAGTGAACAACGCCCGCGAGCAGCTCAACCAGATCAAGAACCACATCGAGAAGAACGCGTCCAACGGCAGCCTGCCGGGAAAAGAGCTGCACTGCGACGACAAGAACAGCGTCAATGCCAAAATCAGGACGCATTTCTCCGAACCCGCCAGACTAGCGCAAGAAGACTCCAGCAAGCATCTGCAGAAGGCACGCTTTCCACGTCAGCCGGCCTACATGCTGGTGGACAGGGACGACAGGCTGAGCTCCAACGGCACTGATGTCAAAAATCCTCACTGGACTAATAAACGAGACAACAGAGACCTGGAGTCGCAGCACAGAGCTCCGGATGCACAGCCAAGAGATCTGGATGCACAACACAGCTTGCACAATATGGAGTATATTGTATAGTGGCCGATGCTCGGCGTGGTAACAATCATTACTGCGTGATGTCACGAAAGGTCAAGCGAATGAAGACATCTTTCGGAATCAGAGTGCTGACTGTCGACTGTCACGACAAGGCCGGACAGTGTTTGTTCAGACGTTGCGGTCGGACCACGGGCTGGTCCGTTTTATGGCATCTGAAGGGCCTGAAGACGTTAACCTGTGCTGAACTTCTAGCCTAAATCAGAATGTACAGTAATTGGCCAAAATCTGCTAATTGCGTGAATCTCACCAAAACATGTCCAGGTCAAATTTCACCCTGAATTCATAGACATTGTTGACATTTGAATGACAATTACAGGCATAGTTCACCCAAAAATGAAATTTCTGTCATTGTTTACTCAGCCTCAAGTTGTTCCATTCTTCTGTTGAACACAAAAGAAAATAATTTGAAGAATGTTGGTAACCAAACAGTTGACGGTAGCCATTGACTTCCATAGTATGGAAAAAAATTATATGGAAGTCAATGGGTACCGTCAACTGTTTAGTTACACACAATCTACAAAATATCTCATCTTGTGTTCATAAGAAAGAAACTCATACAGGTTCTGAACTCGAGGCTGAAAAATGATGACCGATTTTTGGCGAACTGTCCCTTTAAGCACCTTTTCCATCCACAAGTGAAATACTGCATTTATATACAGTACAAATACTGTAATACTAAGATTTTTTTTATGCAAATCAGGATACTATATAATTAAAATTGCATGAATGATGCCTTCTTCTTCTTCTTTTTTTGTATTGCATAAAACTTTTATAGTGCTAAGCAAAGGTTGTAAAAAATATATTTTGGGATGAAATTAGACATGGAAATGTTCTTGAGGGTTTTGTGAGTTTCATCCAATTGTTGAACTGAACTGCATGTGCAGATTGTGTTCAGTGTTTATAATGTAGAACTTAATGCGCCAGAAATAGCTTGTGAATCATTTCCAAAAATCAATAATGACTGGTGTATCACGTGCTCGAAGATTGTATTTAACTTCTTGACTGGATTTTATTTGCCCGCTCTTTCTAGCAGTTCTGCTCTTTTTTTTTTTACATGTGTACAGGCAGACAGGTCATGCTTAGAATTTACTATCTATATGAAGTTCACTGTCAGTTTTGATGTTGTTGTATAGATGACTTTGTACATATTTTCTAATTAATCATTGTGTATATTTGATTTATTAACTTAATAATCGAGAGCCTATCGTTTGTTTTTATTTATATACATTGTTTAGGTTTGAGAATGTGACCGCTTGTGTCCAACCTTTGTATTTTCGGATGGAAAATATTGTCTCTTATTTCTGAAATGCCAAAATAATAGTAGATTTTTTTGAAGAATAGGGTGTTTGTTTGTGTCTAAATCCAGAATACAATGTGCAATGTCTGTTTCAGAAAACATGTGCATGACTTGTGTTTGTAATGTCCTGAGACGTAGATGGTTTTCCATCTAGTTTTGAAACATACTTTGTCTGTTCAGATACACTTTTATAGAATGTTACTTTAAAACCATTCCTGAATATGTTTAGCATATGTTCTTCTCATAGCTGGGTTAAATGAATTTGGCAGCCCAGGATATCAAACAACGCTTGTCTAGAGTTTTCTGGTCAACCACAGTATTCAAATGTACTTTAACCAAAACGTCTAAAGGGAACGAGCAGTATTAGAAGTGCAATGTTTGTACAGTAATATGAAATATGAAGAAAACAACTGAATGTGATGCACAAGACAAAAATGAAATCAAAATCACTTTAGGCCACTTTTATTAATTGTACATTACAGTCGGACTGCTGGGCTTTTTTAGTTCAGTCCCACTTAATTCGTTGAATTGTTTTGTTTTTCTTCTTGTGTTTATGAGATCCTTCTATGAAAAAGCAGAACCATGAAAACAGATCATCCTGGGGTTTGTCATACATTTGAATTAAATTTCATTCAGTTGTTTACATTAGGATTCCTTCAATCAAATAAAATTTCACTTGAATATTTTGCATTTATGAATTCGATTTTTTTCTTTCTTTTTGGAAACAATCCAAGGAAGTATTGGTTTTTGTGTCCAAAAAAGTAGTATTTATCAAATAATATCTATAATGTGAAGCAAACTCTGTGGTGTGAATACTAGTCCTAAGCTGTCCATTATCCCATGACAAAGTCATAAAAAATACAATTTATTGTGTCAAATATTTCTTTGGATAAATATTCATCTCGAATAGGGTGAAAATTGCTTGCAAGCAAGCCATAGAGATGTCTGATTTGTAAGTGAGTCATTCTTTGAGTCATTTCAAAGAATCAGTTGGGTTCACAAATTTGTTTTAATGACTCAGTGATATGAATTTGAATGATTAAAAAAAAAAAATCCTTATCCAGTACTCATAAACTACATATGAAACAATCATGCAAATTCATTGGTCAAAAAGTGTGGGAGCTCTTCTTTGAAAATTCAAATGCTGATATATGGAATTTCTATATGGAATTTAAAGAATAAGTGTATCATGCTCATGTAGCAAACAGCATAAGAATAATTGTAAATATTTCCTTATGCACGATTTAATATAACCCTGGGTCTGATGTCTGACATGGTGGACACAGCCAGAACTGGTCCCAACAGGGTCCACATTGTGTGAGTCTAGACGTTCAGCTGAGCGCAGCGGGGCGGGCCACCATGTGAGAGAGGTTATGAAAGCCCCTCACACTGTCTCTCTCTGCTGTCGTGGGAAAGCTGAAGATGCACACCAAAATAGACGGCATGAGACGCGCTTGCCTAGCGTGTTTGCACAAAGAACGTCTTGTTCTAGATCTCTACCTCCAATCAGCTTTTCTTTGAAAACCGAGCAGTGACCCCTTCTCAACAGGACTGATTCACTAAAGCATTTAACATGCAAAACTGTTTTTCTGGAGTTAAAATGACCGAAATGCACTGATCATTAATCGTATCACTGAAATGACACATGCAGAAAGTATTTGGAGACAGTGGCGGTTCTAGGCCACAGTAACTGGGGGGAGGGGGCAGAGGCCACTTTTGATTTTAGGGGGCATACTTTAGCATTTATCTTAACCAGTGTTAAGGAGTAACTAGTTACATGTAACGGCATTACAAAACAAATGTAACTGTAATCCATTACAGTTACTGAGAAAAAAATGCGTTAAGTTACAGTTACTTATGAAAATGTTAAGGATTACAAAAGGGGTTACATCTGAATATTTAGTGTAATAATATTTACTATTTCTTGTTATGATTTTAAATCTGTATTTAACCTCAGAACGATCTAAAAATATAGAGGCGCTCAAGTCTGATTTTGTGGTGGCTGTGCTTAAAAATGAAATTATTATTAATCTTAATTCAAGTGAAGAAGGATTTTGAAAGTCTGACAGTAATCAGTGTTGAGTCCTACTGTAAGGTTAACCCTGCCTGCTTTAAATGTTTGACAACTGAAAACTGTCAGTTAGAAATTTAGAAAAATAATCAGAAGTAATCAAATGTAATCAGTTACATTACTTTAATAAAGTAACTGAAACAGTTACACTACTTCTTGCATTTTAAATAGGTAACTTGTAATCAGTAACCTATTACATTTACAAAGTAACCCAACACTGATCTTAACGTACTTTCAGGATTACTTCAAGTTATTTTTAACTGTCATGTATCAATCTCTAGAAGCACAGCATATAATAAGGCTGAAAGTTGCCTAATCTTAGTGTAATCTATTAACAACGCACATCATAAACCCGTCTTTTTAGGCAATTACCAGATTTGGTGTCATATCATAAAATATTAATTCGACTTCATTTGTATTTAACGTGATCATTAACAAACATTGTTAATTACTAATATCACTTTCATTTTTGCGGTTATTCAAACAGCGAATAAATTATAAGTTAGCAAAGAGCATTGACATTTTCAAAGAGCATTATCACCGATTTACGTCTATCACTGAAGCTGTCTACACTGTCTATTAATATCTTACTTCGTACGCACATCTTCATTTTGCTGTTTATGACAGAATTCACAAGATTGCAGTATTCAGTCAGAGAGCGCGCACACTGAACAAAACTCCGGCATTTCGGCAATGACTCATCTGAATGCCTCTGATTGGCCATTGCATTCATAACCTCAACAGAATTGTGTGTGATTGGTTATAATGCGCAAACCTGTAAAAATGCTTGAAAAGAAATATGACGCAACATGAGCACTTTCATTTCATTTTTACTTTATTCGCGACAGCCATAATAGATTTAGTTAAATAAGAGCGTTAACCTATTGTTTAGGAATGTACAGCGTTAAACGTTATTCCTAAATTTATGAATATGCAGGATTAACTAGTAATCCCGGGTAAATCAATTCCATTTACCCAGGGTTTAGAATTAGGACCATTTAGAACTATTTCAAGTGTGAAAAGCCCTCAAGTCATCAAAATTCAAGTTTTGTGGCCTTTACACCATGTCTTTAGCTCTAATGGCATCTTGTACTTCTAAACACTGACAAAATTCCTTTAAAATCTAATATGACAAAAACAGACCAGGTGTAGGCCAATTGATGACTCATCTTGCACTACAATTTTTTTTGTCCAATCAAATACTCTGTAGAATGAGAAAGCCCCTCCCCCTAATGCAACCACTTCCGACTAGCAATAGCTAAAATTTCACAGTTGTGATGTAAACTAAACGATGTTGACTATTAAAATTGCATGAGCTCTTAGATATGTCCTTTTTCCAAAGACAAATTTCAACATAGGAAAGAAAATTGCACTCATCCAGCGATTTCACAGGCTCATGCAATGATGAAAACAATAGATATAATGTTCAAAATTGTTTGGACACTTTCTGGTTGTCTAACATCAGTGTTCATCTGTGTGAACTTGAGGAGAAGTGACTTCATACACCCACTGAAAATCAAACTGACACCAGTTGCTTAAACACTTTTTTGTAACAATGGCTTAGTTCTGAAGTTAGTTCTGAGAAAAGCTCTAGCAGCACAGATAACACTTGGTTTGACATTTTGAATGCGATGACATTCATTCACTTTTAAGTGTGGCATAAGCATCCAAATGCTTTTTGGGCCCACCGTATCATTTTTCATTTTAATGGATGTACAGCAAGCAGAACAAATGCCTTCTGTGCAAGTCCCATAGTTGCCTGTAGACGTAGACGAATCCATAAACACGTTTGGACTATTAATCTAACTGACCCCTCGTCTCCTGTTTGCAGGAAATGCTGACATCAGAACAGCAAGTATGACCATTTCGCTGACTTCAAAGCCCAAGAAATGGGTTAGGCTGAAGGAAAGTCTGAAACTTGACTTGGCCACCCTCTTCAACACTAATGGCTCCATCACGTTAACAAATTTATCACGGTAACTAGACTCAGTGTTCGCTTCA